GGGCCCCGGGGCCTACCGACCGCGAGCGTGTGGGACGGGGGCGGTGGGGTCTAGAACCTCAACGGACCGTGCCTTCCGTTCCGGCCCCTCTCTGCCTCCGTCGGCGTACGGAAGGGGAGCAGTGACACAGAGGGCGGATGCCACCCGCACGCTGTGGTCCTGACACCCACCGCCACTGCGTCCCGAGCAGACGGGCACTGGACGCTGAGGGTGGGAGCAGCCCTGGGGAACAGCTGAGACAACCTGTATCAATCACGTCGTCTTGCGGGAAGGTTTCCTGTTCTTCCTAAGCAGCGTCAAAACCACATTTCTCTTAACATATCTCAGAACACACCCCCTTGCCCCCTTTAGCATCGCCTCCCTTCAAAATGAAGACACAAGACAATGCTCCCACCTGTGTGGCACCGGAGCAGGCAGGGCGCAGGTAACCGCAGCAGCACGGATGCGCACGTCTCTGCTTCGTGGGCTGCGGTGAGGATCGCCGTCATGCACGAAAAATTGAGGAGACTCCAAAATGTTGGACAGGCCTCCCCACCTGTGTGTGCGTGCTCCACCAGCAGGAGCCTGGCCAGGCTGCTCGGCCATCCTCGCCCCCAGCACATCAAGGACGCCCAGCACCTGAGCGGCTCCTCCCTGTCACCCCCGCTCTGGACCAGGGTCTCTGCATTTGGAACCAGGGCAGCCTCGGGCGGCGGGGGGCATCCTGCGCATTTGCAGGTGTGAGCGCACCCCTGCCCCACCCACTCGATGCTGGGAGCACCCCCTCCTCCCACAGTGACTATCCAAGCTGTCTCTAGGCTTCTCCCGAACGCCCTGGTGAGAACTTGCTCTAGAGAATCAAGACAATGATGCTTTGCTGGAAACAACTTAAAGGAAATTAATTACTCTTGGGTTTACGGGAAAAAAACGCAATCACAGAAAATAAAGTTAAGTTAGCAAGTTAAGCCAGAGTGTAGTTCTTTCTTCCGGAGTTGGTGGTGGTGGGACTGAGTGGACGTGTTCACATGGGTGTCAGTTAGTGAGAAAAATGGTTGGTCTCGTTGGTGTGGGTGCTTCTGGAAGATGTTGGTGAGGATGAGGGTGGGCGTCTGACGACACCCAGGCTTCAGCTGGACTTCAATTCCATTTCCTCTCGGAAGGTCCCGGGGAGGCTCCACCTCGCAGAGGGACTGCTGTCCACCCAGTGCCGTGGGTGTGGGAAGGGCCCCGCCAGCGCCCGGCCAGTGGGGGTGGGGCTCACAGGTGCTCCTGTCCCAGCTGGGGGCTCTCTTCGTGGCTGAATGTGCCCGTGACCACATCGCTTTTGTTTTCAACATCTTCAGAAACAAGAAGTTTATTTTTAACTGAATATCAAATGGGCGCCAGGGCCTTGGATGGAACCACACAGCCGTGCACCTGGGGAACTTGGTTTGGGTTTTACTTTCAACAACTACAGGAGGGCAGCTCGGCCCCCACCCCACTTCCTGAGGGGGGTCCCCACAAGGCAGCCAACACACACGCGCACACACTCATGGACACACGCACGCACGCGCACCAGCCCCTATCACGAGCTACAGGACCCGACTGGAACCAGATTGATGCTTAAACCTGAAACCCTGGGGGGCGGGTGGGGGACAGACCCACCAGTGCCCGTGCGTCGTGCAGCCCCCACGCCCACAAGCACACGCGCCCACTGAGAGGTGGCAGGTGGTCTCAGCTCACTTGCCACCAGGAGACACGTGTCCCCGAGGACTGGCCACCTCCCACCCCCACACTCAAACTCGGATGGAGGACAGGAGGAGCCTAGGCTGGGGAGGCCCCGTGACAGAGCTCGGCCTGCAGGTGGGGACATCGAGGTCCAGCAGGAGGGAGAGCGTGAACCGGCTGTGACTGAGGCTGAGATGGGAGCAGCTCAGGACGTCTTCCCCAAGAGGAGGGGCCAACTGTGTCTGGTCTGAAGGAACAGCGGGGGTTGAAGGGGCAGCAGGAACAGGTGCAAAGGCCCTGGGGCAGGAGGGAGGCAGGAGAGCGGGGCCATGCTGGAACCCGGGGCTCCGCTGTCCCCATGTAGGGGAGCAGGGCTGTGGGGCGACGGCCAGGACGGGAGGAGCTGGAGGGCCTCCCTTCTTTCCTCCCTTTCTGCGCCCTGTTGCCGGGCTTGCCCTGCTCTGGAGGGTGTGGGGAGGTGGTGCCGGAGAGACGAGGAGAATGCTGGAGGGTGGCCCCGAGCAGGGGCCGGGCGGGTCCTGCAGGAGTGGCAGGTCGTCACCCCAGTAGGAACATGGGGGCACAGCTGTGGATTTGGGGGGTGGGACAGCCTCCTGCCCTCCGATGCTTCTGTTTTTCCAGGAAAAGGAGATGCTGAGGGTGGGGAGCTGCTAGGATCCAGGAGGCGGCAGGACGTCCAGGGGCAGGGACTGGACAGTGGCCAGAGCAGTGAGGGATGATGGACCCCTGAGGCAGGAGAGGGAGCACGGCCCGGTCACTGGGGGCCCCCATCCCACCGAGCAAACCAGCCCTGATCAGCCTGAGGTGGCACAGGAGCGGGCTGGGCGCCAGGCTGGGCACCATGCTGGCCAACCCCATGCGGCTGCAAAGGCAGCCTCCCCCTCTCATCCTCCACCCTCAGCCCTCCTGGGTTAAGCTGCAAATGCTTAACCAGGGGCTGCCTGGCCCTCCCTGTCCCCCTGGGGGAGGTTCCCCCTGTCAGATGCTGGCTTCTCGCATTTCAGGTCTCAATTCAGATGTCGCCCTCCTGATGCCCAGGACAGAGCAGCAGCCTC